CCCTTTAGTAAACTAAGCTTCGCAAACTTGACTTAAATTCGATTAATATTAATATAAATTATAAAAATAGTGAGGGGCTTCACAATGTAGGTCCGGTCGTCACAAGTCGGTGTAAAGTTAAATTGAAGTCTTCACGACGTTGTTACAACACACGCACGCATCCCCCCCCCCCACACACACTCGTAATTTTAAGGGCAATCCTAGCAGAGCGGATCACCAACAAACCGACTTATTGGTGCCGTTGAATCAGATATCTGACGGACTAACAAACAAACAAACAAACACAAGTACAGCATTGGCTCGCCTGTATTGTACTAATTTATTCATTCATTTCTCGTTTTATGCATAATAGAAAGAATATCAGCACAACTCTACCAAACAAGTATCTGGTTAGGGTCTACCAAAAAGACAAGCCAGTTGACGAAATGGATTTTATCCAAAGGCAGTCAAAAGTCGTAATGAATTCAACGATCGAATTACCCCAACAAAAAAGATGTGCAGTTATCGGTAACAGTGGTATTCTTTTGAACAGTGGATGTGGAGATGAAATCAATTCTCACAATTTTGTTATTCGTTGTAACATTCCAGCGATTAGTGAGTTTACTCGGGATGTTGGATACAAAACGAATATGATGATTGTGTATCAAAAAACGGCCCTTGAACTTTACAACTTTTCAACAAATGGCTCGATGCCTGAAGATTTTCGTCGGAGGTGTCAGGACCTGAATGATTCCATAATATGGTACCCTGGTGTTTTCTCAAGCAGAATAAGGAACGTTTGGAAAACCAATCTCAACTACCTGAGGTCAACGTTGCACATACCAGCGATATTTGCTTACACCACAGATACTGACTTAACTTCTACTGTTAAACGGTAATACTTGAATTCAAATCTAATTTAATATTTATTGGTCACATATTTGTTTTTAAATATATCCTTTTACACAATATGGTGACAGCGTACTTGAAATGTAATGAAATATACACAGTATATCTATGTGCTATTGAGAAAATCTGAATATATCACGTCTGGGTGTTATATCATATAACTATGTTTTTTTCTATTTCATGAGATTATCAGTGTGTTATGTAAAATGGTTCTCAAGAACCAATCATTACAATTAATAACTGAAGCGGAGGAATATATGAAGATGTGTCTCCCTAACGTGTCAATTATTCACCAAGGCGCAGCTGGGAGGACTAATTGTCACATCGGGAAGACAAATCTGTATATACTCTGAAACTCACTCTTAATAATTGTTTTGTCATTTGGAATTTGGTAGTTTACTTGTCAAAATCGATTGTTGATTTACATGTCCGTGGTTTCAGCGACCATCACTGTAGTGCGGCGTCCATCCAACTTCGATTTGTGCGCTTCAATTGTGTTTTGTTACCAGATTATAATGGACGCGATCTTGTCAGCTGCTAGCCCCGCTCAAGTGAAAATATCAATATGGTTTTCTGCATTTCTATTGACATTCAGATTGCATTCCGATGTCCAAATTAAATCCGAATTCCTATGTACATACGCTATTACAGTGAAATACCGATGTGATGTGCATAAACTGATTGGTATATTGTAATTTATTTCATTCCACGTGATCGGCTCTTCCCGGTCAGCTTGGCATACTGGAATGTGAGAGATGACAATGAGATTTATATATCCACACTGTGATTCTCAAAGTTTATTATTTATCATTATACCATGCACGTGATATAATACATATTAATTAC